AACCAGGAGACTGGGAGTCTGATTGCTCACTATAATGTGCGCTGGCACCAGGGGGTGGCGCGGAATGAAGGAAGGCCCCAACTGGCAGCCAGCAGCCAGGAAAGGAAGGCCGCGGCCAGAATCCAGAAGGCCCTGATCGGCCCTGATCACCAGCCAGGCCTAGGGACACTACCCATGCACAAATTTCGTGCACTGGCCTCTAGTTGTGCATTTCCATGATGATTACTGATGTTGAGACCCTTTCCATGTACCTGTTGGCCATATGTATGTCTTCTTTGGAAAAATGTCTATTCAGATCCTCTGTCCATTTTTAAATCAGATTGTTTTGGGGGGAGGGTTTGCTATTAAGTTGAATAAGTTATTTAGATATTTTGGCTGTTAACCGCTCATATGATTTGCAATTATTTTCTCCTATTCCGTAGCTTGATTTTTCATCTTGTTGATGGTTTCCTTTTCTGTGCAGCTTTTTAGTTTGATGTAGTCCCATTTATTTACTATATTGCAGGTTTAATGAATGAATTAGTTTTATGTGTGTCAACATGGTTACTAATATATTACCAGCTATCTAATCTAATAAAAGAGAAACATGCAAATTGACCGCATCTCCAATATGCCCCAAGCCACGCCCACCATCCAATCAGAGCGACTATATGCAAATTAACCCAACCAAGATGGCGGCCAGCAGCCACAGAGCTGGATGCCCCAGCGATGGAGGAAGCCAAGCATCCGCCTGCCTTGGCCAGCTGTGGCCTCCGATCAAGGCAACAAAGTTTTCAATTATAGAAGATAAATAAATCCCAGATACCTGCTTCCAGCCAGCTTTCACCAGGAACTTGGGTGACTGGGGGCCATGGCCAGCCTGCAAACAGCCATAAGCCCCTCAAACAAGATGGCCACACCCTCATGGGGTGAGGGTCCCTGCTGGGGGGCTTGGGCAGCCTGCAAACAGCCATCAGCCCCTCACCCAGACTGGCCAGGCACCCCAGCAGGACCCCCCACCCTGAAGGGGCTGTGGCCAGCCTGAAAACCTCCCTCAGCCCCTCACCCAGGCTGTCCAGGCACTCCAGTGGGGACCCCCACCCTGAAGGGAGTGTGGCCAGCCTGAAAATGGCCCTCAGCCCCTCACCCAGGCTGTCCAGGCACCCCAGCGGGACCCCCACCCTGATCCGGGACACCCTTCAGGGCAAACCAGCCGCCCCCACCATGCACCAGGCCTCTATCCTATATAATAAAAGGGTAATATGCAAATTGACCCTAACAGCAGAACCACTGGGAATGACTGGTCACTATGACACACACTGACCACCAGGGGGAAGATGCTCAATGCAGGAGCTGCCCCCTGATGGTTAGTGCGCTCCCACAGGGGGAGCTCTGCTCAGCCACAAGGGCCTCTCCCGCCTCCTCAGCAGCGCTATGGATGTTCGACTACAGCTAGGCCTGCTCCTCGCTGGCAAGTTGACATCCCCTGAGGGATCCTGGGCTGTCAGAGTGATGTCTGACTGTCAGCCTAGGCACAATCCCCTGGGGAGTGGGCCTAAGCCAGCAGGTGGACATCCCCTGAGGGGTCCCAGACTGTGAGAGGGCACAGGCCGGGCTGAGGGACCCCCTCCCCGAGTGCACAAATTTTTGTGCACCGGGCCTCTAGTGTTTCATAATAGTTTTGGAAATTACTATCCAAAAGACACTCATTTGTGAATATATAATTAGTTTGTGCATGTGGACTTATAGTGCTGGGTTTTTTTAAGGCTACAAAGTTGAACATTTTATCACTTATATCTGATAACTTAGATAAATAGATAAAACATACATTGAACATTAACAATAAACAATAACAGTGCTACTGAAATACAAGACATTGCAGGTAACCTCTGACTTACACAACTCTTTAAAAAGTCTGTTATATATTTGCTACTAATTATAGAAATTATCACTGACTAGACTATCTTATTCTTTTCTAGCCTTATAGATCTTGTTCCAGGGTGAGGTCAGTGGAACTAAGAGAGGAAGAGGAAATGAAAATAGTTCCTCTCCCTCTCCCATGTCTGTAACTCTTATTTACATAATGACATGCTCAGAGTAGGTTTTATGAAGAAAAAACAATCACCATTCCTACATGCAAGCATTTATACTGTGTCCTTTTTTACCTCGCCACCTAAATGTGGTCTTCCCCTGAATATTTTCCTCACTTAACTATAAATTTGTTCTCAACAGAAAGAAGGGTAAAATGAATCATTACAATAATAGTGATCATTATAATTACATTATATAGTCATATATATTTTCTAGATAATTAACCTGTATCATAATCATGCATTAGACTTAAAAACATAATGTGGCCTGGCCTATGTTGCTCAGTGGTTGAGTTTCAACCCATGAACCAAGAGGTCACCTGTTTGATTCCCAGTCAGGCAGGCTCAATCTCCAGAAGAAGGCATATGGGAGGCAACTGATAGATGTTTCTCTCTCATCAATGTTTTTATCTACCTATCTATCCCTCTCTCTTTCTCTCTCTCTAAAATCAATAAAAACATTTTAAAATAATGTGTTTCTCATGGCAATTTTAACAGTATTCAAGCTAAAAATAAAAGAATTCTAGTTCATAATGTTATTTTTAGAAAAACCTGAACTCTAGATGTATTTGGTCTGCTTCCTAATTATTACCTTTAAAATATTGCTGTTGATAACCAGTGTCTACAAATACCTCTTTTATTAAATTTATACACATTTGTATTGATTATGAACATATAATTGGGATAGGTAATTATAGTTCAAGTTACTAAATTAAAAAATAAAAAAGCATGGTTTTTCAGAGAAATTTTTACTATAAATATTTTTACCTTGCCAGTCCTTAATATTAACACTGAAAAAAGAAAATAGACATAGCCCTGACTGGTTTGGCTCACTGGATAGAGCGTTGGCCTGCGGACTGAAGGGTCCCAGGTTCGATTCCTGTCAAGGGCATGTGCCTTGGTTGCGGGCACATCCCTAGTGGGAGGGGTTCGGGAGGCAGCTGATCGATGTTTCTCTCTCATCGATGTTTCTAACTCTCTATCTCTCTCCTTTCCTCTCTGTAAAAAATCAATAAAATATGTTTTTTTTTTAAAAAAAAGAAAGAAAATAGGCATAGAAAATATTTTGAGTTATTCCTGCCAGGGTCAACCATAGGATTTTTTTATAAGGTAAATGTAATTATTCAATTTTTAAAAATTAAAATAGCCTATAACTTGTTCTTGCATGCTATATTTTTTAACAAGTCAATCATGAACACACAATATAACTTGGGACATTGTCATAGCTACTTATTGCTGCTCTAATTATGTAATTTTATTAGTTTGGGGAGGGGAGATTTATTTCTAGAAAGTAAAAATATTAAATCATTGCCCAATTCTCAGTTTAGTCTAATACTATTAACTGAGTTTTTCTGTTGGCATTGATTGATTCCTTTCCTTTTCATGTGTGATTAAATATTTTATTATTTTTGTTGTCAAGCATTTTATGAGATGTTAAATGAATTCATCAACTGAATTTTGAGTTTAAAGAGTATTGTAATATTGCAGTATTTTAAATTCCTTGTTAGAAGTGTATGTTCATCTTCATCTTTTATTATAATTTAATCTAGTATTTTACCTTGTAATAAAATTTTAGTAAGTCTCTTGTGAGTTTTAAGAAACCAAAAAGTAGCTGATTTGGCTCAGTGGATAGAGCATTGATCTGCCGAATGAAGGATCCCAAGTTCAATTCCAGTCAAGGGCACATGCCCTGGTTGCAGGCTCTATCCCTAGTCGGGGGTGTGCAGGAGGCAGCCTATCAATGATTCACTCCCATCATTGATGTTTCTATCTCTCTCTCTCTCCCTCTCCCTTCCTCTCTGAAATCAATAAAAATATATTTTAAAAAAGTAACCCAAAAAGTAGTCTAAGAATATGGAATAAAGTTAGTAAAGCAGAAGTAGTATATTAATCAAATTGAAACCTTACTGTTGATGCTCCTTTCTGCCTCATCAAGGTTGTTGTGTGTGTTTTTTTAATGCTAGGGTAATAATGAATAGCAAGGCATAAGCAGCCTACATGGAAGCAATTCAGCAGCCATGGTAAACTTTGAAACAGTTGCTGTCAGCTTTCCTCAGCTAGCAGAACTGACAACATGAGGGTCTTGTTCCAAAATCTATTTTTTTTCTGATTCTACCATATATTTTCAGTTTACAGGGTATATTATTCAATTAAAATCGTATTTCACAAAATTTCTTAGGACAGTGTCTAGTACATAATGGGTACTTAATAATTATTTGCTGAATGAATGAATGTCATAATATGTGGGGGAGGTATTATATTCTGCCTTAGAAACTGTGTTAGACAAACTGTACATAAATTATAAATTAACTTGATGTTAGAGAACAATCCAGAATTGAAGCAATCTTTCATCTCAATTTAGTTCCCTCTTTGTTTTCCATATGTTATTTATATCTGAAAGAGGTATCATATAAATAAATGGTCCTTTTGAAGGAGAGTTATATCCAAGGAAAAGACTGTCTTGTATTTGTTCAGGCTACTTTTTGTTCAGCAAAGATGAACAAAATATTGTTTTAATCTTAAATTCCACCAAGAGTGAGTGGTGGTCCCATCTCTAAAGGTTATTAATCTCACGAATTTGTTTTACCTTGAACTTGTCACTGAATATAAAAGGAATATATGTTTATTTATGAACATTTAGAAAATACAGAAAAAGTATAAAGAAGATAATTAACAAATCTCCATAAAGCCATTAGCAAAGAAAACAATATTACTTTTTAATACTTTAGAGTAAAAGTTTATTTTGAAAGTGAATTTTGTTCTTTCCTCACTTTAATAAATATCTTTTAGATATTCAATCTACATTTTGTAAGTGGTTGTTAGATTTTTAAAGTTAACTATTCCTCTTTAATCTGTGCTTTTTTTGTAGAAAATGGCTTGATTTGGTTAATTTATAGGTCAATTGTGTTTATCTTATTGTGTCTTTAACAGGTAGAGAAAGTGCAAGCACTGGTATTAAATGGAAAGCCAGAAAAACTCTAACTCATAGATGGGAAAGTCAACTGTGGAGAGAGAAAAAGTTTGGCTTAAGAGAACACCTATGTTACAGATTTGTTTATCCTGAAAGTATTCCACGGAAATTTATTTTCGAACACAAAAATTTTCTTATTCAGCAGTATATCTGTCAGCCTGCAAAATACATAGCACCAGAAGAAAGGCCCCTAAAAGTTAGTGATTTTAAGAGTGCCCGAAGTCCTGGACATTTTGAAGTAACCATCCTAGGTAAGTCAACTGTTTTTCCCTTTGGATATTATTCATTTAACATATTTTAAATATAGATGATAGTATTTTGCTTCAAAAAAAATTAAGTGCCCTCACAAAAAAATTAAGCCCAAGGAGTGCTCTTGTTTGGTTCAAACCAAAGGAGTAGAGCACTACTTCTAGAATACATTAAGCTCTAACTGTGGGCTTTTAAACATTGGCAAGTCCTTGGAAAGTATTTGGGGGAAAAAGATTGGGAACCCAGGGAACTTTCCTCATCCCAGACTGACTACTTCTAAAACCGATTCTGTTCTCTGTTAGCCACCACTTTCTTACCCATATTCTCTGTCTCTTACTCAGAGCATCTGAACCATCGAAAGGTAAAATGTAGGTTAAAGAGAAAAGGGTACTAATCAATAGATGCTCCTATAAACAGGAGTCTGTTTAGCCCTGAAGAAAATAAAATTCTCAAGTAACACAGGTTGAACAGAAAGAAACTACTGAATAAACATCCCCTGTCTGATAAGGGAAATAAGCTAATTTCCTCAGGCTGTTTAAAATAGAGAAGTAGCTACAGAATTTATAAAATTGTAAAGGAACCAATATATTTTTGTATATTTATTTTTGTTTGTTTTTAATGAGTGAAAATGTACACAAAAATATTTCTATTATAAAATTTTAGCCAACATGAGCTAATCTCAGTCAAGGAAAACATTTTATTTGTATTTGTGTTTTAAAGAAAGATCTTGTTACCTTAAAATGAAAGAATAAGGAAAAATCATTGGCAAATGAATTTAATGCCTGAAAGAAATTGCAGTTCATAGATTTTTATATCTGGACTACTGGAATGAATTACCTTGACCTTTATCAAGATTCCTTTTTTCTCCTTTACTCTCTCCCGCCCCCACTTCCCTACCTTCTTACACATAAATATGTACATACATGTGTATAATCTATGAAAAGTGTGAATTTTATTCACTCTGTTAGGGAGTCTTACATATCAATTTGAGATGCTTCTTTTCACTAGACTGCATTACTTGGTCTTTTGGGGTCAAGTTTATCCATCTTAGTTTTATATCTAGGAAACAAATATTACAGCAACAATTTCCCTTATATCACAAAAAAGTAACCATGGAAATAATGAGTTCATCTGGAAACACATAAATTGAATATTTTTCTTCTTTTTAACATGTTACTGGTTCATTAAACATCTCAGCTGTCTTACTAGTAATTGTAAACCTTTGAGGCTTTTGCTATGCACCACATAAAAGCAAGAATCAAATGTTAAGAAGGCAAATTTATCATTCTGCCCAACCACTTTTAATTCATATTATAATTATATAATTTTATATCTTGCCTGTTTTCAATGACTTAAGGTGGTTAACAGGGATAAAAGACAGTGAAAAATAAGCCATGTATGGATGAAACAAAATAGAATATTTAAAAGAAAACAAAAAGTAGGTGTTTCTACATACTTGAAAATAACCAGAATTCTATCATTTGATAGTAATTTTATGTCTGCTTTCTGGCAAGAAGGGAAAAAGGGGATTTTTTCCTGATGAGATATTTTACTAGAGTTAAAATAAATTTGGATATCTTCTAGTCCTACTTTCTGGCTAGGTTGAAGTCAGGCCATATAAATTATATTTCCTTAGTTTTCTATTACAGAGAAAACAAACATATGTAGGAACCCTATTTATTTCTCTAACAAAACTCTGAATTCTGGTTTTAACCAAAGAACTCACAAATCCTATATAATAAAAGGGTAATATGCAAATTGACCCTAAAGGCGGAACGAATGGGAAGGAGAGGTGGCTATGACATGCACTGACCACCAGGGGGCAGATGCTCAATGCAAGAGCTGTCCCCTGGTGGTCAGTGTGCTCCCACAGGGGATCTCTACTCAGTCACAAGCCGGGCTGATAGGCTGATGGCTGCAAGCGCAGCAACAGTGGTGGGAGCCTCTCCGGCCTCCTTGGCAGCACTAAGGATGTCTGACTGCGGCTCCCAGGCTGCCAGAGGGATGTCTGTCTGCCAGCTTAGGCCCAATCCCCCAGGGAGGGGGCCTAAGCTGGCAGGTGGACATCCCCCAAGGGGTCCTGGACTGCGAGAGGATGCAGGCCAGGCTGAGGGACCCCCCCGCAAGTGCACGAATTTTTGTGCACTGGCCTCTATTATTATTAATAGTATAGATTCTAAATCACCTTAATTTATAGTTTAGGAATTAACTAAAAGTAGTATCAATGACATGCTGATAATAAAACTATCTTCCTGAAAATATCAGGATTTCCAACTTCAGATATTTCTCAATTTCAAAGCATATTTTCTTTCACATTTGCAAGTTGGACTGCATTTTATGGTCAATGGATGCATTGAATGCAGTGTTTACTTTTTATTTAAAATACCTATTAGCTCCAGGTGGTTTTGCTCAGTGGACAGAGCATCAGCCTGTGGACTGAAGGGTCCCAGGTTTGATTCTGGTCAAGGACCCATGCCCTGGTTGCAGGCTCGATCCCCAGTAGGGAGTGTGCAGAAGGCAGCCAATCAATGATTTCCTCTCATCATTGATGTTTCTATCTCTCTCTCCCTCTCCCTTCCTCTCTGAAATCAGTAAAAATATATTTAATAAAATAAATAAGTAAAATAAAATACTTATTAAATTGATGAGAGTTATATCTGAGAGTTAAATTTAATCTTAGCATCAAGGAAATAAGACACCTGAATGTGCACATTTACAAGGGTTTTGCAGCATTTCTAAGTTTCATGAGGTAGCTATACTTGTTGTAATACTGAGTTGGAATCCTCAGTAAATTCTAGATATTATGGCTATTTTAGTTTATGAAAACCAAATTTTAGTAATTCCTTACAAATCTTTACCCCTTAGTCGTATGTTACCTTAAAGCTATGGAATTTTGTGTCATTTGCCCATAAAAAGCAAATAATGGATTTGCATTTCTAGATTAGTTTACAACTCAACAGGAAGGACTTTGTTTACACATCATTGGGTCATACTAAGTAGTTAACAATCACTGTAAGGATGAATAGGAGAGATATTAAGGTCATAGAATCTATAGGACCCTGTGACAAATATCATGGAAGAATGAAAGGGAGGAGTTACGGATAGCTCCCAGGTTTCTGGTTTGGGTAACTAGATAGAATTCATATAGTTTTGTTCTGTGTGTTTACCCTTGCTTCAGCCACAATGGGCTCCTTACTCTGGCCTATACTTTTGGCTACTCCATTCCCTGCCTGAAATACCCTCCTGTTTACTTAAAAGCTATTCATCCTTTAGTACCCAGCTCAGACCCTTGCCTCTAGGAAGTCTTTTGTCCACCCTAACTGACATTGACCCATGTAAAAAGATGACAGTAGTAGGTCAGGATTCAGTTTGGTTGGTCCCCTATAGCCTCTTTTCTACTGCAGCCTCTTATAGCCCTAAGAGTAAGTTATTGACACTTATATATTTGAGGACAGATTGGACCTAGTTATTATGGTGCATACCATACCACACCATACCATACCACACCATACCATACCATACCATACCATACCATACCATACCATACCATACCAGTATATCCTTAAGTCCAAATGGCAATGAGAGAACCAATAGTTTTCTCATGAATGATGAAGAAAGCACTATACAAGTCTTCATTTATGTGACAAGGCTGTTCTCTGCGTATTAAGATTTTAACCTTCAACCTTTCATCAGTAGAGAAAATTTTTTGGAATTTTTTTTCCAGCAGTGGTGAAAGACTGCACTGAATTGTCTCCTCTTTCAACCAATAACATGTATTCATAAATGTTTGCACAGCTAAGAGTTTAGGCCACAGTTTTTAAACTGTCTTTTTTTTTATCCTCACCTGAGGATAGAGTGGAAAGGAAGGAGGGAGGGAGGGAGAAAGAGAGAGAGAGAGAGAGAGAGAGAGAGAGAGAGAGAGAGATATCATCAATGTGAGAGAGACACATCGCACATCAATTGGCTGCCTCCCGCACATGCCCAGACCCGGGCTGGGAAATGAACCTGCAATCCAAGCACATGCCCTTGACTGGGAATCAAACCCTCAACCCTTCAGTGTGTGGACCAATGCCCCAACCACTGAGCACACCAGCCAGGGCTCAAACTGTCTTTTATAGGTGTGAAGCTATTTGGCATATATTAGGATCAAATCAGCAACTTGGCCTCATTAGCACCATATACTAACCCACTAAACTTTAATAAAGTGTAATTTTTCTTTAAAGGTCTGAACCATGAGAGAGCAATTGATGTTGCATTTCTACCCCTGTACTGTCCAGAAGATATCCGAACATCTCAAATAGACACATTATTAACCTGTATGAATTACAGCTGTGTGTATCCACAGGAAGTAACTGATTCTGAGAGGATGCCAGGTACAACAGCCCTTGCAGGTATGACCGTGTCAGTGTTCTTTTCATTCAGAAAATAAAATTAGAATTATAAATAGTCGTGTTTTGTGGAATTGTGCACCTGAAACCTGTCTAGTTTTGTTAACCAGTGTTACCCCAATATGTTCAATAAAAAGGAAAAAAAATATTGTAAACAGTCCTAACCTTAAGATGTTTTTATATAAACCAGAGGTGGGGACCGTCTGGTCTGCCAGGTGTATCATTTGGTCTGGCCCTGCCAAGGAAACCACAGGTGGGACAAGAAATTCAATAAATCTAGGAGCTTTTTTCATAGCAACATAATTTTTAAGTTAATCATTTTGTTTGGCCCACAAATGATGTTATAAATATCCAAGTGGCCCTTGGAAGAAAAAAAGGTTCAAGGTTCCCCACCCCTGCTATAAACAGTTATAGCCTTAACATTTAATACAGTTTGAAGAATTATTTTATAAATGTACCCCAAGACATATAAGTGAAAATATATATTTTAAACAAAATAGAATAAATTAATGGTTTTTATTCCAGGCAGGCATTAACCATGTTCTCTTATAGCCTGGCTGGTGTTGCTCAGTGGTTGAGAGTCCACCTATAAACCAAGAGGTCCCTGGTTTGATTCCCGGTCAGGGCACATGCCTAGGTTTCAGGCTCGATCCCCAGTAGCGGGTGTGCAGGAGCACCTGGTCGATGTTTCCATCTCTCCATCCCTCTCCCTTCCTCTCTCTCTAAAAAAATTTTTTTAACTCAAGAGTTTTCTCTTATAATACAACTAGAGGCCCAGTGCACTAAATTCATGCACTGAGGGAGGGGGATGTACCTCAGCCTGGCCTGCACTCTCTCCTATCTGGGACCCCTCGGGGATGTCCGACTGCCGGTTTACGCCCGATCCCTGTGGAATCGGGCCTAAACTGGCAGTTGGACATCCCTCTCACAATCCTGGACTGCTGACTCCCAACTGCTCACCTGCCTGACTGCCTGATTGCCCCTAACCACTTATGCCTGCCAGCCTGATCGCCCCCTAACCAATCCCCTGCCAGCCTGATCAACGCCTAACTGCTCCCCTGCCAGCCCAGTCACCCCCAACTGCCCTCCCCTGCAGGCCAGGTCACCCCTAACTGCCCTCTCCTGTTGGCCTGGTCCCCCCCAAGTGCCCTCCCTCCCCTGCCTGCCCAGTTGCCCCTATCTGCCCTCCCCTGCTGGCCTGGTTGCCCCTAACTGCCCTCCCCTGCTGACTGGCCCAATTGCCCACAACTGCCTTCCCCTGCCAGCCATGTTGTGGCTGTGGGCGCTGCCATCATTGAGGGTGGGGCAGTCAATTAGCATATTTCTTCCTTATTGGCTTTGGGCGCCACCATCTTTGTGATGGTGTGAGGGTTAATTAGCATATTCCCTCTTTATTCGATAGGATTCTGAATGTAAGTATTGGACCTAAGTGGTATGCACATGGGAGTAGTGCAAATTTCTAATCTTCTCTCCTTTTAACTCAGATGAGACAGTTTAACCCAGTGATGGCAAACCTTTTGAGCTCTGCATGTCAGCATTTTGAAAAACCCTAACTTAACTCTGGTGCCATGTCACATATAGAAATTTTTTGATATTTGCAACCATAGTAAAACAAAGATTTATATTTTTGATATTTATTTTATATATTTAAATGCCATTTAACAAAGAAAAATCAACCAAAAAAATGAGTTTGCATGTCACCTCTGACATGCGTGTCATAGGTTCGCCACCACTGATTTATTCTTTCACCTTATAATTGCTGAAATTTTAATACCTCCATAGCATAGCATAGTACAATTGTTTTCTCTTATAAATGTTTAGTTATTCAAATGCTATCCAATAAACTCCTTGAGGAGTGCTAGGAGTGTATGTAATCCCAATAGTGAAACCCTTCAACCAACTGTTTAGGCTACTACATAATATGCCAAACTTATTTCTATATACCAAAATTATTTATATATACCTATAAAACTATGTGTCCATGATTACCTTATTAACTTTTTTGTCATTTCTATTTCCTAAGCATGTGGTAAAGTTTTTAGAAGGTTTCATTGAGCTTATAAGGATATTACATTTAAGTTATATTTTAAGAAAGCCTTTATTATCTATGGTCTTTCTATGCTGATGAAACTCTTGAGTGTATGTTGTTTTTAAACAAGTCTTATGAGCTGTGCCTGATGAATAAGTAGCTTTTGGTATTAACGCTTACTGTAAACTGAACATGAATAGCTAATTTTATGTGATGAGGGGTTTTTATTTTCCCACAGTCTATTTTAGAAATGATTATCAGTCGACTTGCAGTATTACTTCTTACATTGCAGCTCCTTAAACTTCCAAAAATTCCAGATTCCTTAGTTAGTGCCCTAATATGCACTTTAAATACTTGTACACTTATTTTCTTACTTCATATAATATCCATTTCTGTCACTTTTTTCTGCTATATGTATATGTTATTATTGAAGAATATCAAGGCAAAATTCTCAGCTACCTACTAGTTTCTAGTGCCAATATTCTTTCAACAGTCACTAACATCGTCACATGAAAATATCTGGTTAATATTTGGGAGATGAAGGGCAAAAATCACTAGAAAAGTGATAGGGTAATCAAAAGTGAGGTGATTTATTTTCTTTTTCACCACATAAAATTATTAATAACTAGAGGCCCGGTGCACAAAAATTTGTGCACTCGGGGGGGAGGGAGGGGGAGCTCCCAGCCCGGCCTGTGCCCTCTCACAGTCTGGGACCCTTCGGGAGATAACAACCTGCTGGCTTAGGGCTGCTCCCGGGTGGCAGAGGGCATGCCCAATCCCTAGGTGCAGCCCCTGGTCAGGCTCAGAGCAGGGCCGATTGGGGAGTTGGGGCACCGCCCCATCATGCACAGAGCAGGATGGATCGGGAGGTTGCGATGCCACCCTCAGTCACGCTCAGGGTAGGGCCGATTGGGGGGTTGGGGCACTGCCCCCTGTCACACTCAAGACAGGGTCGATGGGGAGGTTGCGGCGCCACCCCCTGTCACGTACAGAGCAGGGCCAATCAGGGGGTTGGGACGCTGCCCCCTGTCATGCACAGAGCAGGGCCCATCAGGGGGATTGGGGCTCCGTACCCTGTCACACACAGAGCCGCAGGGCCCACCAGGGGGGTTGGGGCTCTGTACCCTGTCACACACAGAGCAGGGTCGATCAGGGGGTTGGGGAGCTCCCCCCTGTCATGCACAGAGCAGGGCCCACCAGGGGGTTGGGGAGCTCCCCCCTGTCACTCACAGAGTAGGACTGATAGGGGAGTTGGGGCACCGCCCCCTGTCACACACAGAGCAGGGCGGATCAGGAGGTTGGGGTGCTGCACCCTATCACACTCAGGGCAGGGCCAATGGGGAGGTTATGGCTCTCCCCCGTCACACACAGAGCAAGGCCCGTGGAGGGGGGTTGGGGCACCGCCCTCTATCACCCACAGAGCAGGGCCAATCAGGGGGTTGGGGCGCTGCCACTGTCACACTCAGGGCAGGGCCGATGGAGAGGTTATGGCTCTACCCTGTCACACACAGAGCAGGCCCGTGGGGGGGGGGGGCTTGGGGCACCGCACCCCATCACACACAGAGCAGGGCCGATCAGGGTGTTGGGGCGCCGCACCCTGTCACACACAGAGCCTCAGGGCGATCAGGGGATTGGGGAGCTCCCCCCTATCAGGCACAGAGCAGGGCTGATCAGGGGGTTGGGGCACCTTCCCCTGTCACACACAGAGCCGCAGGTGATCAGGGGGTTTGGGCGCTGCCCCCTGTCACGCTGATCCCGGTGCCGGGAGGCCTCACTGCTCCGCTGATCCCGGTGCCGGGAGGCATATTACCCTTTTACTATATAGGATAGAAGCCTGGTGCACAGGTGGGGGCCAGCTGGTTTGCCCTGAAGGGTGTCCTGGATCAGGGTGGGGGTCCCCACTGGGGTGCCTGGCCAGTCTGGGTGAGGGGCTGAGGGCTGTTTTCCCGCTGGCGGGTGATTGAAGCTCCCAACCGCTCCTTTTTTTTCTTTTTTCTTTTTTTTATTCTGGGCCGGCTTTAGCTCTGAGGCCTCGCTGCTAAAAACATTGATACAAATGTTGCGGTCAGGCTGGCTGGCTGACTGAAAGCCGGTTTCTGGGGTTTTGTTTAGCTTCTATATTTGCAACATAGTTGCTTAGAGTTGCAGCTAAGAGGCCGGCAAGTCAGGCAGGGAACGTTGGAGTTCGCCATCACTGGAGCAAGCAAGCCTCCCTGTTCGCTTCAGTGCATGCTGCCGGCCGCCATCTTGGCTGACAGTTAATTTGCATAAGGATATGCTGATTAGCCAATGGGAAGGGTAGCGGTCATATGCTAATTACCATGTTTCTCTTTTATTAGTGTAGATGTGCCCTGGCCAGGTGACTCAGTTGGTTGGAACATCATCCCACACACTGAAAGGTTTTGGGTTCAATTCCTGGTCAGAGCATATACCTAGATTGCAGGTTCGATCCCCATTTGGGGTGCATGCGAGAGGCAACCAATTGATGTTTCGCTCTCTCTTCCTTCCTTCCTCTCTCAAATCAATAAAAAACATATCCTCAGGTGAGGATTAATATAAAAAACCTATTGACAATGTTGTGTCACTTTAGCTTTGTGCCATGCACTGTGCCTGGACATTTTTATAAGTTATGACTAACCCTAATAATAAGAACCTTGCAATGTGAATATTATTTTCCTATATTTAAAGATGATTACACTGAAAATCAGATTTACTAGCATGGGTAACAGCTGGGACTTGAACTCAGATCTGTCTGATTTAAAACTTTTTCATTCCTCCAATAATTCCAAAGTGAAAGGTCAACCTGAAAGGTAAAAATAAGTACAGAATAATGTAATGCAGTGCCTTATAGTATAGCATTGGTGTCATCTTTCTAAACATTTTTTATGAACAAGTTTCTTTTTATTGCCTTGAAAATATGTATATTTGCATTGCTCCACTATAAAAATTAAAAAATAAATATAACTAAATATGGCTTTGAAGTACCAGTCCATATCTTGACATTACTGGCAGCATCTGTTTGATGTATTCACTGTTATCTGTGGAAGTTATTACAGCATAGCTTTGATGAATGTGTGTGATGAATTAGAGTGAAGAGGAAGAAGATGAAGCACAGGGTTAATACTATAAGAAAAAAATATCAGTTTATGTGATATTAAATAAAAGTAAATATTTAATTATTTTACAATACTTACCATCTGCTTTTTATTTTTAGGTGATATTATAAAAGCAGTAACTGAACTGGATAGAGTGCATGTCATCTGTATCTTGGATATCTGTAATTTGGGTGACAACAATGTAGAAGTCTATATACATAAAATTTATAGACCAGATAATGCTCCTTAAAATTAGCAAATGGAATTATTACAGATTGTTAAATAGGGCAATGCATTAATTATATTCTATCATTTTGTTGGTAATTTTGATAACTGTTTTTCTACAAGAATATTACATAAGCTCCCAAGTTATTAAGTAGTTTAATGTTAGTCTTGTATTTGGAGTTAACAGACTTCATTTTAAGTTCATTACTGAACCAGTCATTAGAAAAATTTTTGTGTATCAAGAAAATTTACCTTACTTCGATATGACTATTATCTTGACTTTTAATAATTTATGTTCACTGTCTTATTTGTGAAGTGTACATTTGTTCTAAAGCCTCAGCATAGGGCATCTTGACTTCAGAAGAGTAACTACATAGACATTTGACATCCTGCAACTTTTATTCACCTATAATGGCAAGTTTTGAGTTGCTAATTTGAAGATTAAATGCTTCTAAAATGGTCAATCTGCATTTCTTACAACTAAGGTAGTTTCTGTCATTTTCAAAAGCACACAACAATTGTTATGGTCTCCTTACCCCATTCTTTAGTTTAGTCAGCTGTGCAATGTGAATGAATTAAATTGTCTTAAGGTTTTCCACTCCCTATTGTGACTTCATATCATTTGAATTTCTAAATGTTTTCACCAGTCTGTTATTTTAAAACCAGAGGCTACAGTATGTCTAAATTTTTGCTGTATTCAGTTGTAATTTGGGTACATGTAATGTGAGCTTAAATAGTGAAATTTTTATCTCATATTAACATTTTAGGTGCTCATATTCAAACTATAAAACAGTAACTAAGGAAATTGATTTTATTCTGGTTGTCTATTATACTTCATTTTAAATGTAAATGGCCTTCCACATTTGCAAGGCCCTATGGTTGACATCTATGTGTATCTATGACCAACACATGAGTTAAAAATTATTCTGTATCAAGATGAATCTGATTATAGTTAAGCTATTAATTTGTGGGGTTTCCTTCTAGCCTTATTGGTCTGTGACTTCATATGCTATACATTTAAAATGTATTGGGCACCTTATGAACCTAAAGACAGATGCTGCAATTTGTCCATAAATGTGTTCGGTCTTTTGTTCTTTATAATTGTATTTAAATGTTAATTAGAATTGTGAATCCTCCTCATGGTAAAATTCTGAGTGTGTTATTAAAGAATTTAAAAAGCAATAACTTTTTGGTCACCCGTCTTATTTTGAATGGATTTAATTTCTTTCTTCCATATATATTTTTGGCCATGAGAGACTTATATGTACTTACTAAATAAGGCAAAATGATTCTTCCATATGGGTTGAAGATTGTTGTTTTATCAAACAAAAGCTGGGTTTTTGTTTTTAGTTATAATAAACTTTATAAGGCAAATCAATTTTAGTGCCACATAAATGTTGGGGAAGGGGAAAATAATACTTCAGAAGTTATTGACTAAAACCTCAGGCTGAGATTTCCGAACCACACATTTTAACAGGTATAATTTCTGTTGTCATATTGAATGAGATATATGAACTTTTTTTAAATTTAGAATTTGTAAAGGCAAATTCCCTGGCAGTTTATTTTATGTTCTAGTGATATTTCTATCCAAATTTGGAGTTAAACGTATGTGTCATTATTTCTGGATGTTGCAAAATTAGATCACTACTGTGGCAGTTTCCTAAGAAGAATAGCAAACTACCCACAGAAGAACTTATCTTCAAGTGTCAATGTGTTCATTAATTTCAAAGTCAACACAAATATACTACTGCGACATCACATTCATATTAACAAGGCAATGAGTAAATTATGAAATATTTCATAGTCTACCAGGGACCACAGTCTCTCACTGAAGTTTCTAATTTTATATGGCACATGAGATATACACATTGAAATCCTTTGGTAAGCTATTGAAAGAAGAACATTAGCACATGTTCTCTCTGCCATTCTTATGTCTTTGTTGGAAATATATTGCATTCATTTTAAAAAAGAGATTTTAAGACATTTGAAACCCTTATTTGGCGATACTAATAATATTTGATGTTTTTAGCTAGAAACCATGTGGTAATATGGACTATAGACTATAACCAATTATATTATTATTAAGTTATTTACATGGTTTATAATTGAGCTGGTTGCTATTTCACTAGTTACCTTTTCAGTTACATTTTCGTTCTTTATTTCTCTTTTAAGCATTGCTACCCAAGAATTTGCAGGTAAATTAATGGGAAGTAAAATATGTATTAGTCCTGCTTATTTCAGTATGAAACTGTTTTCAGTAAAGTAATTGTAGGAAAAAGATTTAAAATTAATAAAAGAAGATTTGGGGACTATCTTATGATTCCACTTATTTGAGATTACATTTGAGTAAAGTCAACTCTATATATAAAAGGATAATATGCAAAGTGTCCCCTTCAGAGTTAGACTGGGAGACCAGGAGTTTTATCACTCGCTATGACATGCGCTGACCACCAGGGGGGCGGCACGGAATGAAGGAAGGCACTGGCTGGTGGCTGGCAGCCGGGGAAGGGAGGCCCCAGCCACCAGAAGGCCCCAATCAGCTCTGATCGCTGGCCAGGCTTAGGGACCCTACCCATGCATGAATTTCATGCACCAGGCCTCTAGTATCCTATCTAATAATAGACAAACATAGTAATTGACTGTACCTTCGCTACGCCTCCCATTGGCTAATCAGCGTGATATGCAAATTAACCGCCAACAAAGATGGCGGCTAATTTGCATACTGCAGGCAGGGTGGGACAGCACAGCCGCCAGCATGAGCCTCCATCCTGGGCTGCAGGCTGGCCCCAGAAGCCCCAGAAGCCACCCAGAAGCAGGTGATCAGGGGGAGATGGGGGTCCCCTGCCCAGGCCTGACACTCTGGCAGAGGCGTTAGGCCTGGGCAAGGGGCCAATCCAGCAATCGGAGGGTGATCGGGGTCGACACTTCTGGCCGAGGTGTCATGCCCTGGGCGAGGGTGGAGCCGGTGATCAGGGGGAGATGGGGGTCCCCTGCCCAGACCTAAAGCCTGGCCCAGAGGCATCAGCCTGGGGCGGGGGGGGGGGGGGGCAAGCCGGCGATTGGTGTGAACTACAGAGGAAACACCTTTTCTGACCACTCATTGGTTAAGCTCCCTGTATGCCACTGGTAATATTCTTAGTAACTTGGGTAATAAGAATCCAAAAAGGTGATCTAGGGTTTTTCACCACACTCCTGGCGAAAAAAATGAAGGTCCGCTGCTGGAGGGCTAAGAAATGTCATATCCTGTCCTAGCCAGTTTGGCTCAGTGGATAATGCCTCGGCCTGCCCAACGCAGATTCTGGGTTCAATTCTGACCAAGGGCATGTACCTAGGTTGAAGGCTCCTCCCTGGCCAGGGCCCAGGTCAGGCCTCATGCAGGAGGCAACCAATCAAAGTGTTCCTCTCACTTTGATGTTTCTCTCTGTCTTTCCCTTTCTCTTCCACATTCTTTAAAAATCAATGGAAACATATTCTCAGGTGAGGATAAAAAAAAAATAAAGGAATCATTATTATATGAAAGACACATCTTAAAAATGCCTAAAGAAAGTTGTCATTTTTTCATGGTGAAGGGACTGGAGTCCATGTTGATGAAAAAACCTTGCTGGCTGTGGTGACTGGCAGTGGCTACAAGCAGCGGGGTGATGGGGCTGATGCCTTCCCATGATCAACCTGGTCACCTTCCACAAAGGGAGGCCAGACTTCGGCATAGGCCCTATCCCCAAGGGGAGCAGGGAGCGAGCCTAAGCCGTCACTAGGACATCCCCTGAGGGCTCCCAGTAGGGAGAGAGGGCAGGCTGGGCTGAGGGACACCACCCCCCAGTGCATGATTTCGTGCACCAGGCCCCTAGTCTAATCTAATAAAAGACAAAAATGGTAATTAAGCATACCTCCGACACGCTTCCCATTGGCTAATCAGGGCGATATGCAAATTAACTGCCAAGAAAGATGGCATTAACCGCCAACAAAGATGGCGGTTAATTTGCATACCTAGGTGCAATGCTGGGAGGCAAATGGGGAAGGACTGAAGAAGCTGCCTGCTGCTGATGGTGATTGGAAACCCAAGCAGCAGGCAAGAACCAGGCAGCCTTTGTCCAGCCCCCCAGGCATGATCGCAGAAGTGGGGGCCATTGCCCGGCCCCCCAGCCATGATCAGAGAAGGGGGGGCCTTTGCCCGGCCCCCCAGGCATGATCAGAGAAGGGGGGGCCTTTGCCCGGCCCCCCAGGTGTGATCGGTGATGTGGGGCCCTTTGCCCGGCCCTCCAGCCGTGATCAGAGAAGAGGGGGCCTTTGCCTGGCCCCCCAGGCTTTATCGGAGAAGAGGGGGCCTTTGCCCGGACCCCCAGGTGTGATCAGAGAAGCGGGAGCCTTTGCCCGGCCCCCCAGCTGTGATCAGAGAAGCGGGGGCCTTTGCCCAGCCCCCCAGGCGTGATCAGAGAAGAGGGGGCCTTTGCTTGGCCCCCCAGGCATGATTGGAGAAGCGGGGCCTTTGCTCAGCCCCCCAGGCGTGATCGGAGAACCTGGGGGCTTTGCCCAGCCCCCCAGGCGTGATCGGAGAACCTGGGGGCTTTGCCCAGCCCCCCAGCTGTGATCGGAGAAGCAGGGGGCTTTGCCTGGCCCCCCAGGCATGATCAGAGAATTGGAGGCCTTTGCTTGGTCCCCCAGCCATGATCGGAGAAGCAGGGGGCTTTGCCTGGCCCCCCAGGCATGATCAGAGAATTGGGGGCCTTTGCTTGGTCCCCCAGCCATGATCGGAGAAGCAGGGGGCTTTGCCTGGCCCCCCAGGCATGATCAGAGAAGCTGGAGCCTTTGTCCAGCCCCCCAGGCGTGATTGGAGAAGTGGGGGGCCTTTGCCCGGCCACCCAGCCGTGATCGGAGAAGCCGGGCGGGGCAGGGAAGAGGCGGCACTGACACCTAAGTAGATCGCAAGCACCTTTCAAACTGTGTGGGTAAAACCCCATGAGACCAGGTCCTGACCGCCCACGTAGATCGAACTGCAAACCCCCTGAGACCGGGTCCTGGCTGCCA